TCCAACGTTACCTTGGCGAGTCGGTTTACATACTCGTTCTGTAAAAATTTTTCACCGTGGCCGGAAGTCGTGGATCGCGAAAAACGAAAAAAAAAAAAAAAAAAGGAGGAAGGAAGAAGAGAGGAGGAGGGGAGTTAAGACCGGCGAGAGAGGACCGTTTACCCCTTTTACGTATCTCCAACACTGTGTCTTAAGGATTGCAACGCTTGGCATATTTCCGTCAAAGTAAACGTCTCTGGCATCCTCCCCGAGGGAATGCCAAAGGTCAGCCGAAAATTTAATAAGTAAATTACTTGAGGGAGGGCAACGAACAATGCTTCGAGGGGGTGGTCCATTTCCAAGATATCGAGATGTATTGGGATGTAGTTAAAGGAGAAAAGTATTTTATCCGTGGATAGTTTTTGTCTAGGATTGGAGCGAAAAATGCATTTGAAAACTAATCAAATGTAATTCGTAATTTAAGAGAGAAGAGTATAAGTATTAAAGTATATACATATTTATATACATACATAAGTATATACAAAATTTAAAAAGAAGAAGTAAATAAAGTTTTACGTGTAAAAGAGAAATTTTATACAATATTCTCGTTTATTTTTCATTCAAATAGGAAGTCACGTTCGGATAAATGAATTCAATTAACACAAGATAACTGTTAAATAAGATTTCATTCCAATAAGTTCTACTCTACGTTACGTAGCGTGTTACAGTGATCCAAGGATAAACGAGAGATATGATTTAGAAGAACCTTCACCAAACTTTCACTTTTTTTATGCGCGATAGAATGTAGAACAGTTTCTAATTTTTCTTTCGCCTAGAATATTAATTCCCTTTGGATTATAGTAATTAAGATTAAAAAGTTAGATTTTTTCGTTATTATTATAGATCACATGTAATTACATGCTTTCAAACTCCGCCCAAGTAGTTTCGAACAACGTGTCCCCTTGAAACTGTCGAAGCACAATCCCGCATCGTTGTCGTTCTCGATGTTAGGGATATTCGAACCGAAAACTCTAAGGGTGACAAGAGTCGACGCATAGTGCTCAAGTTTCTTAACTATGATCAACTATGCAAGACGCCATTACTGCGTACAATTTGGGAAAGGAGTTTGAGACTTTGTGTCCCGTCTACAACTATCTTCCACTACGATAGTCTTCGATAATTCTGCGAATATTTTGCCAAATTCTGTATTTTCCAAAAAAAAAGAAAACAGACATTTTGCAATTAATTATTTTCTATTTCTGAAGTAGAAAATTTTTAAGCTCAATTTTTTCGAATCTAAAAATTTATTAATTTCGATTATGTTTGATTTAATATTTTTCAGTTATTGAAAAATAATTTTCCCTTAATAGCGAGGAAATTATTCGTAAAATATGAGGATAAATTACGAAACAGAGAAGGGAATATCTAAAAGTATTTGAACGATTTGCTCGATATTTCGCGGGCCAAGAGATTGCATCAGTGTAAGTAAGATTTCATTGAGATTGGCCACCCTCTTTTGAAGAATGTGCTTTAGGCAGGCCGAGATACGGTACGGAGGGGTTGTAGCGAAATAATCGATATCTCAATCTCATACAACGGGTAAATATTTTAAAGCCGAATTTCTGATAGAACGTTCTGCACGTTTACATCCATCTATCATAAAACGAATTACGAATCATTACATCTCTATCATCGAAACACCTCTCACTCTGCATTTACAATTGTTTCAAAATAAATCGTCGATCCATCGATGATTATTTTCCCAATGTACATCCGTGTTTTACTCATTTTACAACAAGGCGTGAAATAACAATAATCGATGGAGAATTTCGGGCTCGCAATACGAGCTTGCATATGGTGCAGACAGATGCGTTAAACCGAGCCTATTTTTCTCTTTTTCTGGCCAGTTTCGAGCTGTGCGAAACTAAACGTTATTCTTCGGCTCGAGTATCGAATTTCGTTGAACACGGTCCTTTTTTTTCTCTTTTTTTTTTTTTGCGCGCGCGCGAATGTCACACGACACCCATGGAAACCGCCCAAAACATAATCCACAACGCGTCCCCCCTCCCCCCCCACACCCTTGTAATTAGGGTGATACTTTCATAAAAGGTATTGGGATAAGGTGTACCGCAAATACTATTACAGTGAGCGTTATTAGAGGTCTGAAGTTACCCCTAAATAGGCGGTTGGATCTTGTGGTGTTGAGTTACTTTACAGAGGCGTTGAAGAACACGACGGGGGGATTTGTTTGGGATATTAAATTTTTAAATTACACACTTGTCTTTTTCAACGATTAAATTATTAATCGATTGAATCGATAAACTGATGCTAACGAAAGAGATTGTAAGTAAACATCGTATTGTAATAGCAAAAGTGAGCGAGTTTAAAAAAGGTTATATATTTAAAAGGATAATATTAATTGTAAATAATGGATTAATTGGACGAAGAAATTCTACTCTTACAACGTTTCAGTCTCTATCAATCATTTATCAAATCTCTGTACACATTAGAAATTGGAGAAAAAGGAGAGAGCAATTTCTAAACTCGTCACAAATTCGACCTCAACAAGACCTACGCGTCCCCATCTTCTTTCAACAACTCTTTCGCTCAAACAGACCCGTCTCTTCCTCCTTTAAGCCACTCCTAATCCCCGTGAACTACCGTTGACTGGCCAATACTTATCCAAACACAATCTCTGGGAATAAATTCTCCACACCACAAACCATTGGAAAATAGACCGTCCACTCACGACTCTACCTACCAGACCACGCTCCTACTTACGATTCCCGCTAGAGCAAACAAATTCTCTCTCGCACTTCTTCAAACAAAAAGCCCGTTGCAGGTACACTTAACCCGTACTCGTGATCCGCATGATTCCGACCGTGTTCACCATGGGTAAACCGTGGGTAGAGGAAAATCCTCTACCTCCGTAGAAGAGATATCAACAACTATCGAGAACGAGAAACCACTACTACTATCCACCGATTTAGAAAAAAGATCGATTAGGGAATAAGATCGTTCCGTTCGTCCTCCGACTTCCTCTTCCCCTCTCGAGGGAGGCCCCTCTCGGTCGAGAGACTCACTCGTTCCTTTCGAGCCTTTCTTTAATACCTGAGCACACCACTCCACCCATTACACCAGGCACGCAGAAACCGTGGCGAATGCAAATGTCGCGCAAATGTCTGTCTCGTCGCGTCCCCTTCTCTCAGTGGGATCAACGATCGCAATCACCGATGTCACGGGCCGACTTATTGGCCGTGATACGTCTAATAGATCGATGGCCGCCCATTATTATTACTCGCCCCTGATGCTCGATCCGGCCGGCGGCTCGCCCTACAAATAACACGCCGCGCGCCTTTTTCTTCTAAAGCGAGTCGGCCGGATGTGCGCGTGACCGGATCTCCGCGCGCATTTCGATTTTACGCGGCAAGATGTCGAGGATCCGGAGGATTGGAGAGTTTCTTGAAAAGGGGTTTTAGAACGATTTTAGAATGCGCGATCTCGTTTTCGATGGTTAATTAAAGAGGAGGTTAAGATTATTGGATCGAGGTTTATTGGATTAAGGTTAGGGTTGAATGTATTTTGATTGCACATAAGGGAGGTTATAGGAGGTTTAATAAGATTGAGCGAGAGTGGATCAGGGTTGAGGAAGATTGGGCTTTGGTAAGTAAGTTTTCGGTAAGATAATTTTTTGGAAGTGTATTATATAGTTTGTTGAAGCGAGAATAATGTGGCTATTGTGGGATTGTAGGTTGTAGGTTATTTTTTGTTTTGAAAAATTTTTTTGACATTACTTGTCAAATTGTGTTTCTTCGATTTTAAAATATTCATTCTATTACCATGTTCCATTCAATTCTATTTATATTATTAATTTCGCGTTTATTCGCAATTTTTATCAATAGATTGATTACGAAGAATTACTTGATGGCCATTACTTGATAGTTTTCGAATTTTTATTATCGAAGTAGAGTAAAACATCAGGATTTAAAAAAGCAACGTCGTATATATAATTTACCATAACGTTTCTTATTATTCATTATGTATAAATTGCGAAATCGAAGAAAATTTTAATTAACCGAAGTTAATTTATGACTCTAACATGGAATAATAAATGTTATAGTCAATTAGATAGTATATTGAAAAGGTAATGCGCGTAACAGTCGTTTAATAAAATGTGAACCTCTGACTTTGATTATATCAATTTTCTATGATGACATCAATCTTTGATTTTTTTTTTTTTTAAGTGTAAAAAAAAGGTATAACAATTATCATAAGCAAATAGCATTTGTAAATGACTGTTTACCGCAAAATCGTAATGGATGAAATTACAAAAAGCGATAAAAATCATCGCATAGTACGTTAATGATCTATTAATAATATATTATCACTTTTTACTCTAAAGGAAATTCATATTTTATTAATATTTTATTATTATTTTATATTTCATTAAACAGTGATTCATTTACAATATATTTAACCGAGGAATTTCAATTTGAATTTCAGTCAAAGTGAGACGTCGCTCTTTTTTACTGTTTCATGTCTTTTACTCCTTAAAAAAAAAAAAAAAAAAAAAAAAAAACAAATAATAATAAAATATTGCAAATTATATAATATCAAAGATATTGAATTTCATGTACCGGAAAACCATAATATTGCGTTATTTATACATTTTTACAACGAATTTAAAATAAGATGGAGACGATTAATTCGAAAATATGGAATGATTGATTAATTTCATAAAAAAAAATTACTTATTTCCCAATGATTTTTTAATACATTCCTCAATTATAAACTCAATAATAAAAATATTTAAAATATATTGAATCACTCATCCAAGTTTATATTCACCCTTTTAAAAATAATTTTCTAAGGCTTCCAATCCCTTTAATCGACATAGAATAATTTTTCCCTTAAAAGAAGAAATTCATCCCCGAAACTGACGTCGAAAAATTATTCAAAAGCCTTCCAGTCCTTCGCCAACGGAAGGGGTTAAAACGTAACTCATCGAGGCAATTACTCACCACATGGATACCCTCCGCGTCCCTCCTAAGATCGCCGCTCCTTTGGCCAGCCGTGACAGCGGCGCTCAAGTGATTATAGTGATGTTGATGCAACGTGTTGAGCGTCTGCGTGTACGGGTCGCCGACGAGGTAATCGAGATGTTGCGGCTGGCCGAGGCCCGGATGTTGAGGACTCGCCGGCGCGTGGTGGTGCGAGGGGAACGGGGGTGGAAAGTACGGTGGTTGAAAGTCGGAGGCGGTGGGCAACGACGCGCCACCGTGATGGGGCATCCCGCTTCCGTTTCCATTGCCTCTGTGACCGTGGTGATGGGCGCCTGAATACGGCGACGAGTTTCCACCGCCCAGCGAGGAAATGCCCCCGTGACCAGTTAAACGGTCCTGTTTCAGAGAAAAAAAAGAAAAAAATTCTCCGTTAATCGTTTCCTCAAAGAGAGAATTTCATTCGTTTCGTAATATAGAATTCGCTATTTAGGGGGAGGATATTTATTGAAAAAGTGAGACGAAATATTTATAATCTAGGAATATTTTTATGACAGGATGACACTGGTTATGGAGCAAATTTTTTCGAGTTCGATGTTTTAATTCGTTTTTTAAAAAATATGGGTTAATAAGTTTTTACAGTGTGGAAAATGATCAAAATATTTGAATATTTTAAGTGAAAGATAGTCTTCATTTTTGAGACTGTGTATTACTTGTAAGTTTTTTTTTTTTTTTTTATACAAAGAGCCATTCAAAGAGCCTTTGTACACAAAAGTAATTGAATTCTTTGTAGCTTGGAAAAAGTTTCTTTGAAAGTTTCGAGCTATCCTTACTTTCATCCGTCCATGTGTATCAACAGCAATGTACAATGGACACGGAGAAAGATTCAAAAGAAAAAGAAGAAAAAGAAGCCAAACCAGTTCATGCATTACACTTATTTTATAACACCTAATGGTAGCGCTCAGATATCGTTACATTGTTTTATATAATCAACATTACGATCATTTTCCAATGATTCCAATTCTACCGTCTACGATATTTCTAATGCTACACAATCCTACGTTTAAAATCTATTGAGTCGAATTTGATTTATGCATCACGGCGTTAAATAAGAAACGTGTAAAGTAAAAATAACCATAATAACAACCATAATAAACTCGAGCAGGGAAACGCACTCGCCGACGCATGTTCGTTGTACTCGAGCGCAACTTTCGCCGCTATTAAAAAATTGCCGGCCATAATTACGGTGACTAATGTATGCCGGTTTCAAGGGGGAGAGAAAAAAAAAAAAGAAAAGAAGAAAAAAATCGTGCCAGCTTCGTTGCAAATCTGCCATTACAATAAAGTACACAGTGGCGTTTAATCGTGAAAGGTGGTGAATATAAACATGGAGAGTAAATACCATGCAAATTTTTTGACGAGCAAATAGCTGAAGGGTAGAATCGTAGATCCATGCCGTAGATCTTTGAAAATCGAATTTATTAAAGTCGAAACGAGGGACAAGCTATCGCCGATAAAATGTTATTAGAAATGATAAGCGACCGGGAGGAAACTCGCTACTGGATCACGGCCGTTACCTCTTTCAAGTCGTTCATAAATTCATCGTAATTTTCCTCATTTTCTCTTGCAATCTTCGATGGTTTATCGTACGTCGAGCGATAACTGATGAGACGGATGGGAAGATTTATTATTCGAAATTCTGCGAACGACGGCAAGTGAATGGAAAGTGATAGGTTTTTAAAATATAATCTAGGTTTTAAAAAAAGTAGCGGGGGAAAAAGTAGCGAGATCGATTTAAAAAGAAAAAAGGTTTCGTAATTGTTCGACAGTGTTTTTTCGACATTTTTCATTCGGAAATTTTAGCTTAATTGATTTATCTTCGTCTTGATCGCGCGAATTTTACTGGTTGTTATAATTATTGCGTTTCTTGCTTTCTAAATGAATTTGAATTTTGCAAGAATTTTTTTCAAACTTTTTGAAAGAGAGACGCGATAATGATTCAAAAATGACTCGAGGAATTTATAATTTGCGAAATTAATTTACGAAATTGTGCGCGTTAATTTGACGGTTAAGTAATTGATATGTCTGAAGTGATGATTTATTTATTCGGAATTTTTCTTTTATTCCTCGATGCAAAATTTGCATGGAAAAATTTACATCGTACTATGTTTAAAAATAATTTATTCTTATTAACTTTCAGTTCCAAAGAAGTTTTTGATTGAAAAATGATCCACTTAACTTGGAATAAATTTCAAGTTTCTTTGAAATTAGTTTTCATTGCATATTTTAATATTTCTTTTTCTTTTTTTTTTTTTTTTTCTTTTCAATGGTATACTTCTACCAAAATTAATACGATAAGAAGGATAGAACTTTAGAAGTAGAAGGATAATAGAAAGATACAAGTTTCCGCTTCTTTATAAAATAGGATAAAATTATAATGGTCGAGCATTGTTATAGAAAGTCTACAATCACTTCACATCATCATTGAACGAATTTAGGATTTTTATGATCAAATAATTATCGTTTGCGTTCGATTTATTAATCTCTAACCACTTTAAGAACAAAATTAAATCAGAACATTGTCTTACATCGAATATCGTTCTCGATACTTTCGTTAAAAATAATTTTCTAATTTTTATCCAGTATCGTTACAAAATTTCGATAATATCTTTCTATAAAATTTTATTAGTTCAGTACTATATCGAAATTTTTACGAACTATGATCGATCGTATGATAATTAGAGATTGCAAGATCATCAGAAATAAATCGCCGTGATTAAACACGTTTCACCTTTAAAAATATTGAAATAAGTTTATATAAGTAATTAAAATTAAAAAATCATCTGACTCAAGTGAGAAATAATTTCAAAAATTGTACAACATAAATATCTGATAAATCTTTCAAAGATTCTTAAAATATTAAATCTAAAATTTATCAAGAATTTTTAATTTATTTATTTAGAATAAAAAGAAAAATATCGTTCGAACAAAAATCCAGAATTATCTATTTTCCTCAACTTATCAATGAAAATTATTTTCATTTCGATGTATCTTTGGAATAAAATTCTTCAATTCAAGTAAAAAATAACACGAAATTAAATAACGAGATTGATTTAATTCCATTGATTTCTCGAAATTTTTCGCGCGATGAGAACGGGACTTAATCTGGCCCACGCGATCTCTCGATGGAACGATTACGCGGTATTATTCAGGTAGATAGTATCAGCCAGTGATTTATCTGAATATCGGCAGAAAGGTTTTGTATCGACACTATACCCGTGCAAGCCATTAGGTTTCTGTTCCCGTGATACGATCTCGAACATCTTTATAAGCCGCGAAAGGGCCAGCGTGTACCTTTTTTTTTTCTTTTCCTCCATTCACGCTCTATCCACGAATGTCACTCGTTGCTTCCAATTAGGCAAAGCAATTTATTGATCAAGCTTCGAGATGAATCGGATGAATTTTAGTTCGTGATCGTTCCATTTTCTTCATTATATTCTCACTTACGAAGCAAGTTACGATTTAATTGTTCGAAAATAGAAGAATCAAGCTTATTTTGAAAATTCTCTCGAAAACTTTCAACTTCTTGTTATTATCCAAGTCTCGTCAATCAGTGAAATTTTATTATTATATATTCGTTTTAAGTCGCAACCTCTGTTTCATGAATATCATGATTCTTCGTGGAAAAAAATTCTTGTATTAAAATTTCAATTATCTAAACCAATCATCACTTTAAACGACACATAACTGCCCCACCAATTTCAGCTTTGATCGCGCTTCAGTTTTTATAAAAGAAAAAAAAATTTATCACATTCTAAATTACGTATTCATTGCTTTCACCGATACTTAAATCAATTTAAATAAATTTGAACCGCGAGCAAAAACTTTTTTCCTCGTCAATTTCGCCGTTCAGAACCTTCTTCAGAAGGGCTTGGGGTCCGGTTGGAGGTCAAACGACGAGCATCAACCGTGGCAGGGTGTAAAATCGCGACGCAACAGGAGGAAGAATTCGATTATGGAGAAGGCAGTCCATAACGGAGTTTAACGACGGTAGGCCGAAAATTGGCGGAAAGGCCCGTTATAGAAGGGAACTCTGGCTTGGCCAAACACACGCTTGCCGCTCCTAATCTACCCGATAGATAACGTTCTCAACGAACGAGACAAAGAATTCATCTTTGTCGCTTTCCAAATCGTTATTTCCAAATCGAGATTGATGTCGTTTCGAAATGGAGAAGGTGGAAGAGGGACAGGATTCCCTCGCGCACGGTTTTATTCCGTACGAAATATTTGTCGTCGTTTAACGAGCTGCGTCGTTACGGACCAATGGAAGAGTACCGTTTCTTCCTTCGATGCCAAAGGGAGCCAGCCCATTAAGGCGTATTTCAATTTGCAGTAATGTTTGTTGCTCGACCATTATTGTAGGCCCGGCTTTCACGTGTCGAGAATGGACACGCGCCGCCTCCAATTTCTCGAATACGAATTTATTTCGTTAAATTTAAATATTTTGAATTAAAATTGTAATAATAATAATAAACGATATTAATTATCGGATAGTTATCGGCATTTCGAAAATAATGTGTCGATGCGCAGGGAGCACGTGTTGTGCATCCTAAATAACTCTTTTTTCCCCTTCTTTTTGCACGTTCGTACGATTCTCTCGATCAGACATAAAATCAGAAACTAATTGAATTCACGCGCAGAATTATCCCTTTCCTCTTTTTTACGATCCGCTGTTTAAACATTATTACAAAAGCCATTTAGAGAAACACACGAAGGCCGTAATTTGATAATGAATTGAATTTATTACCACGGTATACGCGTTATACAAATTAGAACGAACAAAGAAGCGAATATTTACACGTCAGACGTACAAACAGCCGTTTCCCACTGGAAGAGCGGAAAAGAGCGGGTAATTAAGAGAGGGTGGAACGACGATGCTAATAAGCTTAAAGAAAATATTATCGCAACGGCGATAATAATATTTCATTAATTCATTATCCGGAGAGTAATTATGCAACTTGCACGGTTAATAATCAATTCGAATTCCGGTTCGAATCGAATGTCCTTCGAAATCGAATAAAGATCATTCTCTTCAGCCTATCGTTTCTAAAACCGTTCCAAAAGATTGATCGAAGCGGGGAAAGTAATTTTTAACTACACGCGAGAAGGAGGAGACGAAAAGGAAAAGGAAGGGAGAGATCGTTTAATATAACGAGCTCGATCAAAACGATCTGACACGATACACGCATAAAATTTCGGGCGGAGAGCAAGCTGCAAATGGCCGATTCATTTCACAAGACGCATAGCCGAACTTTCCAGCTGAGATCGCTATTGATAACGCCGGGAGAAATCGTCCTTCTTGCCACATATGACAAGTAGACAATTAATAACCAATAAGC